TTTGCTTAGTTTTACGGACAGTTTGACGTTCGCGTACTGTCTGTTCAACTGGTGTTTAATCCATTGATTCAATGGCAATCCACTGGTCTTTCGCATAGCCGATGGGATCTGTTCGGTGAGTCTTTCGTCCAACAGTTGTATCATATGATCGCCCGATGGCTCCCATTGGCTGCCATTCAATGGCAACGATATCTCGTTCAATGGATTGTGAAAGCAATCGGCGATTATGTCAAGCATTGAACCGATCCTTTCGTTAAACCTTTGATCTCTGATCTCAATGTACGACAGATTAACGCATTTGTGAAGTAATGCACGGATTATGCGCTCGTAATCCACAAACAATTTGCAATATATAAACGGGGTTTGACTGTAAGTACACATGAAATCCGTTTGTGTCGTGTATATCAATCGCCGCCACTGTTTGGACACACATTCACACCGGAATCGGTCCTCGAGAGTGAGATATGACAATATGTGTTCGCACATGTCATCACCGAATCGGTCCAAAGAGTCTTTGGGATAGTTTTGCGACATTTCTTGTGTTAATATTACGTCAGTTTTGTATTTCAAACACCGATTGTCTGTATTTAATGCAAATTAAAACGCGTTTCAATTAAACAGTAAATTATGTAAACTTTACTCACGTTTTGCTGTGAATTACAAATACATTAATTGAATTCATAAACGCATTAATTATTGTGAATATTATTTGAAGTGTTTATACATTTAGTCAACACTTAATGAAACAACTTTTGGATTAAAAGTGATTGCATTTCAAGTAATGTAAACACAAAACACATGTCTGTTTTGATAACACCATTCATTTCGATGCCAACCATTCCCTCTATTGGCAACAATTAGCAATAACTTATCGCAACTTATTTAAACATTTTAATTGGTAATTAAATTAAACTAACTATAATCTGTTTACTTAAGCCATCATGGTTTCATATTTATTAATTTACTTTTATTAAACATTTTAATTAAATACAATTGGAAATAAGGAAATACAATATCCAAACTTTTAACCAATAAGTCAGTGCTTTAGTCGGGACTCCACTAATAACGGGTCGATAGGACTCGACCTTTAAAACACTGACCAAAATAAATGTAAAATAGGGTTTTAAAATATTTGCTAAATAGCATAAAAATAATACATGATGCATACATTTATAAATTATAATAATAAGTACTGTATATAAATGTGGTAAATTGTGATCACCATGGTAAGAATAGTTGAATTTAAATTGTAATGCGCTTAAAAAATACACATTAAACATGTTTATAATGTTTTATGCTATTTATTGAAATCATATGAATTGTGTCCATCAGATCCTTGAAAGCGGTTTCGGTATAGTCTTCGGCGCCCATCAGTTCAATGCTCTCTATTGATAGCAATTGTGACAATGATTTCAATACAGTGTCCGTTATATTAATTCTTTCAATGTATAGAAATTGAAGTTTTGGTTGATTTGTATGCATATTAGGCAACAATTGGTATTTATAATCAAAATCTGTTGATTTGAGAGTTAAATGTGTTAAACGTTTGCATTTATTGAGGGAATCATTCGTTAAAACAAAGTCTGATCCAAAGACTCCATTGATTGACAAACAATTAATTCGCTTAAAATATTCATTAATTGTTTGAATAAACAAATTGTCATCAAATTTTGCGATCAGTGATAAAGACTTGAGTTTCGGACAATTAATACCCATTTGTTTCATACCATTCGCTATGGATTGGGAATAGGGTTTTGCCGCTAATAAATCCGAGCAATTGATGTGTAAATCAATTAATGATTGCATTTTCGACATACCGTTCATCAGTGTCTTAATGTCAATCTTAGTGCAAGACTTATCAATTGTCACATTAATTGATCTCAAAGTGTGGTCATAGGTTGCCGTGAAATCCGCAAACTCTTTGCCGTCCGAAGGGTTGAAATGAAAGCAAAACTTTCTGTACTTTTCAAACAAATTGCTTTTTTTGTTGGAAAACATTTGCCGTACGGTTAGAAAGTCATCGTCCGTATGGACACGTGTTTTGCTTAGTTTTACGGCCAGTTTCACCGACTCGTACTGTAGGGCCAACTGTTTGGCAGTCCATTGGGTCAACGGCTGGTCTGCGGTCGCACTGATCGCCGCCGGGATCTGATCCTTAAGTTTTTTGTCCAATAGATGGATCAGATTATCCACCGATGGGTCCAATTGGTGGCCAATCAATGGCATTGATATCTCGTTGAGTGGTTCGTGAAAGCAATCGGCGATTTCATTACACATTATACTGAAGCTAAGGGTCGGCAACGGTCTCATCGGACTATCCCTCACCTCAATGTACGACAGATTAACGCATTTGTGAAGTATTTTAGGGATTATAAGACAACATCTGCTCGAAAACCTGTTATCTCTTTGTTTTTGAGAATGCATTGTGTAATCAGATTCAGGTCTTCCTCTTTGGCTATTTCTGGGAAATAACTTTTTATATAAAAACGGGGTTTCACTGTAAGTGCATATGAAGTCCGTTTGTGTCGTGTATATCAATCGCCGCCACTGTTTGGACACCGTTTCGCACCGGAATCGGTACTCGAGTGGCAGATAAGACAGTATGTGTTCGCACATGTCATCACCGAATCGATCCAAAGAGTCTTTGCGATAGTTTTGCGACATTTTGTTGTTTTGTTAATTCACTGCTAATTATCCGTCAGTTTTGTGTTTCAAACACCAATTGTCTGTATTTAATGAGAAATTTATATTATTTTCAAAACTTTGTAACTAATTATGAATTAATTACTAATTAATAAGTGTTTTATAAATGCAATCAAACATTGAGTTTAACTTTTACTTACATTTTAGTGTAAAATAGAAAACATTGTTTTAATTAATGTTATTATTATGTCATTTAGTGAACACTATATATAATATACTAAATATTGATTTAAAAGTTAGTTTAAAAGTATTGATTATTGATTACTGAATAAAATGTAATTAAAAGTAATTGTATTTAAGTGTCAAATAATGTAAACACAAAACACTTGTTGTGTTTTGAATGACAACTTTTGATTGACGTTTCGATACAGACAATGCATTTCGATGCCAACCATTCCCTCTATTGGCAACACTTAGCACTCAATTATGATTTAAAATGTATTGAAAACTTAAAACTTGAAAACTTTTGTAAGTTTGTTATTAATTTTACAAACTATACAATTATTTAATTTGATCCTTAATTAACCTTAAATTGTTGATAACGTTTTATTTAGTTACAAACCTTTTACTTTATAATTAATAAATACAATTGTATTCAAAACATAAATTAATTCAATCAAGAAATAGATTTATTTAAAAATTAAAAATTTTTAATCAAAAGTTTACATAAAAATAAAATGAATGTAATTTTACAAATATTTGTTAATTAAATCAACAATTATTTTAATACAATTATCGGTGAGATTCTTGAGAGCAGTCGGTGTGTAGTGTTTACTGTCATTGAGTAGAATTGTGTGCATTTTGTTGGCATAACTTATTCACATTAAAACATAGGATTGAGAACACAATGTTATAAAAATTTAAAAATCATTTGGGTACTATTTAAAATGAGGGTCCAATTTATAGATCTCATTCATTATTACGGTTTGAAGTTTTGTTTCACAATTTATAGATTCTTTCAATTCATAGAACGGAATGACCACTACTTTAAAACCCAGTCTTACCAGTAGTCGGATGTCACACAGTGTCGGGCCATTCATATGTTTCCCCATCACATAGTCGTTGATATCCAACACATTAATAATAATACAATCGTTAAACAGATTGGGTTTGAGTACTGTTTCGGGAGTTAATGAAAAGTTTCGGTGATTTTCACTCCAAATGACAACAAATTGATAGCAACTGTAGGGAAGGATATGAGACAATCGAACCCTTTGGCCAAACCGTGGCTTCAAAGACATGGCAACAGTTGACCACAATTTCTCTTTCCTCGAGATATGATTCATATCCCGTCTCCTGTTTGTGACAATCCATCGGTGATAGCGATAACTCACTGCCGGCTCCAGAAGAATGTCCACAAACTCTTCGTGTCTCTCTATTGATAGCGCGGTGTTTACAGTCAGTACTTGTGTTTGCGATTCATATTTCGATTTCTCAATTTGGGTCAAATATTTGCGTTCAAAACAGAGTCTAAGCAATGATTTGGGATAAAACCCCAAAACTGCCAAATATTGGAGAAAACGTATTAAATTGTGCGGAAATTCATGTAATAGAAAGTGATCGGCATTTGTGTACACATTATCGCAAATACGTTGCAATTTCTTGGGATCTAATTTGTGATGAAAATACGACAAACACATGAATATACGCGCCATATCTTTGTCACGAAAGTCGGTTGTATTGGCATAAAGTGTGTCAAATGTGTGGGACATTAGCTGTTCGTCGTATACGCGGGCCGTATAGACAAGAATAACCAAATGAGTTAAACCCATGGCATCAGTACTGGACAACTGTTTCCTTCGGTCAACGTATCTACGGATTTGTGGCACAAATCGTTTGTAATCATGTGCTAGTGATTGTCGGATGCATTTCGTGACCGCATTTCGCGCTATACTATGGGTGTCGTCGGAGACATCAGTAATTGCTTTACTGATGACTGCTTTCAACAGTTTGTCCGTCAGTTTGGTTCCCGTTTTAAAACAAGTGTTACAAAAGACCGCCATTTCATCGAAAGTCATGTCATTTATCATTGTTTCCATTCGTCGTAATATAAGTTTAGCAAACTTTGGATCAACTCTTCGGTGAAGACTGGCGTAAGACATGAGATGAAGACACGAACTCTTATTCAACTCAAATTGTGGTGAATTTAAGCGATTTAGTAATGCTTTGTTGGTTTGACATATGTTTCCGATTTTGAGCCGACAAAACAGATTTCCAAACATTAAGTATTTCTCCACATCTTTATTATCCCTCAACTCATCCCTTATTAGTCTGTCTCTCAACTCGTAGTCCACATTAGACCAAATGCTGTGAAACAACGGCTCAAATGATTGATAGAGACCAAGAACTGGCCATTTGGTCATTGACTCCAATACAGACACCAATTGTTTTAAATCTAATACTTTTAAAACTTTAACCAAACTTTTGATTTCAGTCTTAAATTCTCGGAACCTCTCCGGAGGAATGGACACAAATTTGGACACAATTTCATTAATGGCTGTGTCTTCAGTGTTGAGCGGTTGTCGCCAATTGATCCCATTTTTGTCGATTGGATGGAGAGCTTGAAGCGTATCAAACGTCCACTGATCGTTAGTATCAGTGAATACCACTCTTCGGTCACTGTTTGGGATCAGATTGACATCACTGGACGGCACTGTCGTTGAGCGCAACTTCTTATCACTGACGGTGGATGTGTTGGACCACATGTTGAACGCATTCCTCAACATTAAGATTGATTACAAGTCGGACGCGAAGAAAATGTGCGAACAGTTGGACGCGGAAGTGATGGATACAGACAAGGATATGGAGCCGGACTTTGTGCCCGATTCTCTCATCGCCATTGACGCAACGTGTGCTCAATGTGCTTACTCTCCCCCCCCCCCCTCTCTCTCCCTCAACAATTTAAAGTGACAATCCCATTGACGAGAATATTTGCCATGAATACAGTATCTCACAATATGTATCATGGTAATTTTGGGACAGTTATT